ATCCTTTTAATTTACACCTTTTCACGTTCTGTTGTTACTATTTGTCTTAATTAGCATTTTTGCCTACTTAAAATTCAACTTGCTTTGTAATCATTCATTCAACTGAAGATGACAGAAGTTCTGTCGAAACATGTCTTTCAAACTTGAAAAATTGGTCGTTTTCCTTAAAATCTTTACATGTCTGCTGCTATCTAGACCTTAATTTTCATTTTTAATTCAAATTTGATTCATTTGTAAAAACAATATTCCTACACGCATCGCTGAATTACGTTTTCGATCAGAGTCAAAGCTCAAAGCATGGGTTTGTCTTGTGTTTAAAATTGCCACTTTCACTTTATCGCGTAGTATTAGCTTTTAGATTCTTCAACCATTTAAATCACAACCCTAGAGGGTTCATTTGTTAAGAGCTTTACAATATAAAAATAGGAAAAACATATCTATTTCTTGACGTGGACATATCCTTGCTGTTGCAGTCTGCATAAATGACCTCTGGAGACGAAATAGTTTCGATATAACATGTCTAATTAAAGCATCCACCATCAATTTTTGCTTTTTTCAGTGAAATATTTATAGTACGCTGATTTAGAGAAATATTCGGATTCAAAACTAACTTCGAAAAATGGAAAACAGTTTTGCCTCGTTTTCATGCTCGGTATTTGGATCATTTATTTAAAGCTGCAACTTCACGATTAAAAACTCAAAATCAGGCCTGGTAAACAATTTTTTCGTGTTCAGCGAATAATTTTCAACTAAGAAAGTGTGTTTACCAACTTTTCCTCGGGTTTGCCGACAGAAGTTTAAAATAGCAGGCTTTCTTGGACTTTGTCCCAGTCTATAGTATCAGCCTTGCAGTCTACTGTTTGTCTTCAGACAATAAGTGCACTGTTTCGAGACTTCTGATTGTCGCCACCCGACAAGGCAAGGTTTCAATCAATCTTTGACATGCTGATACTTTATGAGTTTATGAGAACCCATTAGAGAGTCGTCAAACATCGGTCACTAGAATAGGCTTTGTTTTAATGCGCGACATAAAGTTCATAGTAGACCGGTCTTTGTGTGGCAATATTTCCGGGAAACATCAACATGCGGGCGAAGTTTCTGAGAAATATTGCCTATTGTTTCAAGTGACCATATTTGATGAAGCGAATGCAACGTCTTTGTCTTTCTTAGTCAAAACATCTAATTCAAATGCAAAGAGTCTGCCGTATAAAAATAGTGAATTGAATTGCTGAAAACACACCCAAGAATTTGCGAAATCAAACTGCGTGGAGAGGATGACGAGAATGTTTTCTTTTGTTTTTACAGTTATCGTGGCGCTTATTTGTGCAAGCCCCAGAAGTTCTCAGGCGAGGACAGAGGGTAAGTACATAGTAAGTAAGTCAGATCTAGACTATCCCTGAATGAATGCATTAAAAGTCATTCACATTATCACTCTTTGGTTTCTTCCTTGCTTTGCAACGACGTAGACGTCGATACTGTCTAAAGAGTTTGACAAGCAACTTGGACGAACATGCAGTACAAAAATTATATTTGCTGCTTCACTGTGTTGTGTTTGTTGGTTGCCACTCGCGCGTTGAAACGATGGGCATAGCGTGGAGAGAAGTCGATCAAGACGCACCGAAGACTGACATGTGGGTGCGTTTCTTTAACAAAATCTAAGATTGGATTCTTAAATCCGAAAGAATCCGAAAACGGATTTTGCGTTTCTTTGCTAAACAGATCAATCCAAGATCTCTCGGATCATGGTGCGTCAAAGGAACCGAAGAGTCCAGTCTGGATTCTTCGGTACCTTTGACGCCGAAGAATCCACTCTAGATTCCGAGAGATCTTGGATTGATCTGTTTAGCAAAGAAACACAAAATCCGTTTTCGGATTCTTTCGGATTTAAGAATCCAATCTTGTATTTTCTTAAAGAAATGCAGTAGCTGCAGTAGCTGAACATGTATTAGTAAGCATATCGGCCCTTTTACTCGCTAACTTGCTTAAGATGATATCAGCCATCTCAACCACATGTCTGCAGTTATAGAGGAAATTAGAAAGAAATGATGCTATCAACAAACAGCTTCCATGTCATGAACAACCTGATAGCTTGAGATTAAACGAAGCAAAAAACTGTGCGCTGCAACAAGATTAAATCATGCTTCAAGAAGTGATACAAACTTGATGTGTGTCAAATGTACAAATTTCTAGCATTGTTGGAATCCGCACTATGTAGAGTATCACTGGGAATGTTCCAGTGCAAGCACTTTCAACGTTTTCCACTTAATTGCTACTGTCTAGTGAGTATGAGGTACGGAGTTGACTTCGCTTTAATAACAAAAAAAAAGAACCGTGAGCCGGCTAGTGGAATCTTAATGCAGCAGAGGTCGATTTCCTTTATACATACTAAGAACCTGTTGTTAACTGCCGCTAGCTTTGCTTAGGACACGATTTCGTAGATCTACGCATTTCTTATGCGCTCTTTCCCTAAAACTTCGCATCCCAAAAAAAAGGAAAACACATTATCTAGTCAGTGTGACATGTGATCTGTTCCACATTTTCTACTCAAGCCAAAAAGCGATGAAGAGGGTCATGAGATTGTCAATTAAAGTTAGACCAATAGCCTTGGTATCTGGAGTAAGCAGATATGATTATATTGTTTATTGCAACTCGTGGCATAAATTAGCAA